TCCCCCCCACCCCTTACCAGCGTCCGGGGACACCCAGGTGTGGTGTCTAAGTGGGGGGTGGGACATGGGGGTACGGCGTTTCCAGAACGCCGTACCCCCTCCCATCCCCGCCTACCACATCCTTCCCACCCCCCCCACCTTCGTGTGCCACGGTCAAGAAAGTGGAAGGGGGCAAGCGGGGGGGTAGAGGAAGGAAGTGGAGAGGAGGGGGGGGGGAGGGACGGGGATACGGCGTTTTTGAAACAGATGGGAATGTAATGAAGACTACAGATGCTGAATATTTGATGACCGTGCAAAGAAAGTTTGAGGGTTCTATTTTTAATACTGCTGTATACATTCCACAATCGTTGTGTGTAGTCCGTCCAAGGCTGCTACGTCTACCGATACGTTTCGTCATTGTCTACTGTGCTTTTAGGTTCGAAGACAGCACGAATGTCCAATAATGAGTAGCCGCAGCGAGGGTTGCCGAAACGTTTCTCTGCCGTTGACACAGCAGGCGCAAGGAATAATGCCTCCTGCGATTGTTATCAGCTGCGAGAGTCGCTCCCCGACCTCGCCGCTCACACCGTCCAAGCGTGGCGCGGGGCCACTCTACCCCATAAGGCCGTGGAGACGAAACGACGTCCGTGTTCCAAATTTGCTTACCTCTAATAATGTCGTCCGTCGTCTTAGTCTTGACGACATAATGAACAATGTTCTTCCTGTATGTGGGCATGGCCCACAAACCGTTGACCGTGGACACCCTGTGACGGATAAACCAACTGTTGGTTCGGTTACTGAACAATATGGCGAACAGCACATTCAGAAGTTTGAGGAGGCAGATTGCGTTTACGAGGGACGGTGCACTCCTCTGTCGCATCCAGTATCGCCGACAAGAAGCGCTGACACTTGCGACCATCCGCGACCTCCGTTGACCGGAGGGCAAGGGAAGCGAAAATACACATACAGGAACAGGAAAAGAGGATGTAGTGAGTCCACGTCCGCCTTCGAGCACCGATGCAGTCTTGAGGACTGCGAAACAGTTTTGAAAAAAAGATGTTGCAGGAAATCTGGATGCCTTCAACGGCTGACCGCGCACGACATTCATAAATGTAGACGTGAGTACCGTGCGCTTAGAGGCCGCGATAGTCGCAGGTGGTGGATATCTAAATTGCAAAACTTCACCTCTCTTGTTGACCGGAAACCATCCGTGAAACCAATAGTGCAATTGCGCACGATCTGCGTTAACGCCTGGTGCCTCATTTTAGGGATTGGGCGTAATACGTTGAAACGACACATGGACGATGTCGGCGACGGAACGATGGATGTCACTCACGGCCATGAAGAGCGCCCTAAGACGAGCGCGAGATACGCCATTACGTGGTCGGCATTTGAAGACATCATCCTCAACGAATCAGACCCGATGCCGGACCAAACAGAGACGGGATCGCTTTTTGAGATTCGAAACCGCATCCGTCTTCCTTCCGCGTATGCCACGAAGAGAGATGCGCATCAGAGCATCGAAAGAAGACTTCAGAAAATCGGTGTCGTTTGCTCGTCGTATCAGGTCTTCTGCAAAATGTGGCGTGACTTTTTCTGGCAGGTTCGTCTAGCTCGAGCTACCGATCACGCGAGGTGCAACGAGTGTATTAGTTTGACCACTCGCRTCGARGGCGCCCTCCCGGGCCCAAGGCGCCAACTCGTGGCGCAACATAAATACCATTTARCTCTTCAAAAAGCGCATCGCAAACTCTACAGCRTTTRGTCRGYGGAGTCGCAGTTCAAAAMGAGAGGGAGCTTGTGCATCATCATAGACGGGATGGATCAGGCTAAAACAACGATTCCCCATGCGGCGCGCAGGCGGTTGTCGAAAGAAATGGCGAACAACACTATGATGAAAAMAAACCTCACCGGTCTGATTGCGCATGGCAGRAATCCCTCGCTCTTCGTTCACACCTGGTTCCTGTACTTGTCGCACGGTTCAAATTCCGTAGTCGCATCGATTGCGATGTTGCTTAGAGAGGTGCAGGCGCAAGATGGGGAGCTCCCTCCTCTGTTGAGGGTGCAAGCGGATAACTGTGGTGGTCAGAACAAGAATAGATATGTGTTTTCCTTCCTTGCGTTGTTGGTGAAGTTCGGTATATTCAAGGAGGTCCTAATGGGATTCATGATTGTCGGTCACACCCACATGGACATCGACGCAAAGTTCAGTTTGTTTGCCAGGAAACTCAGCGGTTTTGATGCTTACACCATGGATGAGCTGTTCTCCGTGCTGCAACGTTCGTGTGAGGAGCCGGTAGATTGCAC